CAGGATCTCATGCGCTAAATGCGTATGCAAAGACGTTGTAATTTGGCCTCGGTTTGTCAACATTTCTTGATGACCTCTAACGCGGCTCTAGCTGAAGCAATTCTTTTTCGTCAATTTCTACGCTTGGTTCCCATTCGGTTTCATCACCAGACATTTCGGCTATTGAGTCTGTGTCAATGCTTCCATTCGGCGAAGATGTAGCAATTTGTGAATCACTTGGCGACGGTACCTTATTCAGCGCTATACTACTCGGCGATTCTTCCTCCCCTGATTCAAAATTCCCATCTTCGGAATATTGCAAGCAAAATTGATTACCATTATCAATATCAACGGCAGTTACCTGACTAGAATTTTCCATTTCCCAAAATAAGACATCCCGTTCGTTGTACAGCTTGTATGCCTTGGAATCAGAGGCATACCCAGTGAAAATGCATTCGGTTGATTTGTCATCTAATTTCATTCGCTTTTGTTTTGGTACTTGAACGAATGCACCGCAACCGAAAACTTTGAGCAAGGACAGATTTGGCTTAAGGTTTGACCAAACCTCTTCTGGAGACTTTTCTCCTGTACCCTTGCACGGGATGCGATTCATGATGTATACAGCAGTCGTTGCTGCTTCCGCCCAAAATATTTTTGGCAAACCCGAATCGATGAGTAAACAGCGCACTTTCTCCATGATTGTACGGTTCATCCGCTCAGCTAGCCCATTTTGTTGTTTGAAATCGGTGATTTGCAGTACTCGGTACCATTATCAGTCCTTAACTTTTTTTTTTGTAGTTACTTTGTTTTTCGGCCATTGACTCGAACCGAACAAAACAGTCGAACACTTCGCTTTTACTTTTGATTGTATATATAAACAATTTTCTTGAAAAGTCGATCGACCAATGTCACAAAATATTTGCATCCACTGAATGATTTTACTGGCAGTGGGCCGCAAACGTCACTGTGCACCAATTCCAGTTTATGTGTTGCACGATTTCTTTCGGTGTGGAATGGGATATGGCTTTGTTTGCCTTTTATACACGTGCCACACATGCAGTTTTGCGGAATCACAAAATTCTTAATTTCGCTTTTCAAAAATTTCATGTAATCGAAACTTGCATGCCCGAGACGACGATGCCATAAAGCTAAATTCTCTTTTGGTTTTTCTGTGATGTTCGGCTCTGTAGCCGTAAATGATCTAACTTTTTGAACGACGTCTAACTTGAACAAGTCATTAACTAAACTCGCTGTGGCAATACTTTCCAGTGCGTGTCGAATATTTTACAGCCACTTTTAGTGAACAAAACTGCGTGATTGTTTTTTACCATTTGATTGACTCATAAAAGATTCGCACAAATATTCGGTACAAAATGTACATTATTTATTTGTAATTCTTTAGAAGTGCCATTATTCATCACCAGCTGGTTAACCGTGCCTACACAATCTATTTTTATTTTCGCGTTATTAGCACCTATTACTTCTTTTTGACTGGGTTTCGATATGTTTTTTATAGACGATATGTCTTTGTTCATATGGGCTGTGCATCCACTGTCAATAAACCAGTCTGAAGGCAATTCACTCGATTGAGCGAGCAGCGACGAGAACAGCATTGTTTCACTGTTGTCAANATCGGAACCAGTCGGAAGGCAATTCACTCGATTGAGCGAGCGACGAGAACAGCATTGTTTCACTGTTGTCAAATTTTCGATGCTCCTTTTTTCTTTCTTTCGCCACTTTGCAATTTTTGACAAGATGTTTCGTAGAGCCACAACCAAAGCAATGTCTATTTTTCGCACTTTTAAATCTAGGCTTGTTTTTGACAACAAGAGCCGTTTCACTCGATTCGCTTGGTTCATTTTCCAACTCCAAGCCTTGCAACAACAAATTCTTGACATAGTCAACCGTAATGTCTACACCAAAATTTTCAACCGCCAATATCATTGGCTTATATTCGGTTGGTAGACCCACCAACATTAGGAATCCTGCCACTTCATCGATTTTGAAATGCGTTTTAACCTTGGACCACCAGAGTTGGGTAAATGCAATTACATTACAATTACAATTACATTCCTCAGTAATTGTAATTAGGATTCAAGTCCTTTAGTTCACAGCAAAGGAATCGATTACTTTTTCAATTCCTTGAAGTAATTTCAAATGGAATTGTTTTTTTCTTTAATTCCATTACGAGGAATTTCATTTTGTAATTGGAATAAATTACGTGCTAGTAATGTAATTTTTTTATTTCAATTTCTTTGAAAGGAATTGAAAATGTAGTTTTTTTTTCAATTCCTTTGAAAGGAAGTGAAAATGTAATTGATTTTTTCTCCAATTAAATTCCTCAAAGTAATCGAAAAATTTATAAAAAAAAAAAANAATTCCTTTGAAAGGAAGTGAAAATGTAATTGATTTTTTCTCCAATTCCATTCCTCAAAGTAATTAAAAAGTAATCGAAAAATTTATAAAAAAAAAAAAATTTTTACTGTTGAATTGCAATAGCTTTGTTAAATTTCTTGGTTGCTAACTGCCTTAAATAAACAACTTATACCTAAGTAGTATTACTAATTGGACTTAAAAAAAACTGAATAGCTTAAACTGTAGCTGTTCAGTTTATAGGGTAACGGTTAAATTTTCCAGATCCTACCGCGAACGCGCTTCGCGGCAGATGAGACCCATAAATGTTGCTGCCTTGGGCACTGCTGTTCTCTTGGACTAATCCCTGCGTATCTATAAAAATGCACTGAGTTAATTGCGTATATTATGGTACCCTTAATTCTACCCAAAATGGCGTGCCTTCTGGGGCCTTTGAAGTACTCTTACTGGTATCCTGCGTTACAAATGAGGATAGCGTCCGCTTGAATTACGAGCCCTGTGGGACTGGAGATCCTACCTCCTAAGAGTTTTATAAACAAATTTCATTGCTATGGCTAAATTTTGATGATAACACTGTAACCACGCTAAAATTACACAGAAAACGCCGAGAGACGTAAAATTAATTTTAAGTAGTATGTTACGGATCTGTATACCGCTTGTTTTAGATAAGGTCATTTAGTCAAGTTATTTTCCTTTTTTAGTTTTCATTGCGAATGAAAAAAATTCAAATTTTAACATGGTCATACGGTCATGTACGATATGGCGTATGGGTAACATTATTTCCTGCTAGTATTTCATACAAAAAATTATTGCACTTTCACTTAACCCTTGCAAACTTGTTTATTTATCCATAGATTTTCATCGGTAGTAGTGTTTTAAGCCGCAAAACAAGCAGATATTGGCTAGTCTATACTAATATATATTTTGAAAGGCGTTTTTTTCTGCTCGCAAAGCTCGAGAAAGGCCGTACCGATTTTTTTGAAATTTCGGAATCTACTGCAGACTTTCCAAGGATGGTTATAGGCTAAAAAAAGTTTCGATATAGAAAGGGGGCGTGGCACCTCCCATACAAACCGAATTTTTCAAACTGCATATATTTGTGGTAGAGGACTAGAACTGGGTATAGTGATATATACATATATAAGACCAATTCCATACTCATGGAGAAAAATTTACATGGTTGGAGAATGGGGCGTGGCACCTCCCATATAAACCGAAGTTTTCATATTGCATATTTCTGGAAGTGTTCATGGTTGACTGTAAGCCTTTTTAAAACTCTTTAGTTTGATACCCAGATGCCAACATTTCATTTACTTTATCAATTTAACTGAGTTACAATTTCCAAATAGGTGGCAGCCCCCCTCAAAAATATTTCCAACAGCTATCTTTCTTAAACCTCTTTAATTTGATACCCATATTGTAATATGTTACTTATTTTATCAATGTAATTCAGTTAGATTTTCAAACAGATGGCAACCCTCCTTAAGCATATTTTTGACAGTAAGCCTTCTTAAAACTCTTTAGTTTGACACCCACATCGCAATATTTCATTATTTTTAACAATTTGACTGAGTTTAAATTTTCAAATAGGTGGCAACCCTCGTCAAAAATACTTCCAGCAGTTATCTTTCTTAAACCTCTTTAACCATACCCATATTGTACCCATATTGTAATAATTCATTAATTTTATCGATATAATTGGGTTTAAAAATTTTAAAATAGGTGGCAACCCTCCAAATTTTTGCGATATCATTGGTTCTGGTATTATACCGAATAATAAAAAAAAATTACTCAAATCGGTTCAGCCGTTCTCGGGTTTGATGACCGTGACATACGAACACAACATTTTTATATATATAGATATACATAGAAGATGTCCAATGTGTGCTTTCGATTTTAATCTTTGACCGCAACAAAAATTCCACATTGTACATTCGTGAATGAACTTTCAGTTTCTCGATTACTTTTACAATTCCTTTGAGTAATTGAAAAAACTAAAGTACTCTTGCAATTCCAGGTAATGGAATTGAAACAAAAATCGATTACATTTTCAATTACTTTCAAATCAATTGGAAAAAAAATTACATTACTAGCACGTAGTTTATTCCAATTACAATATGAAACTCCTTGTAATGGAATTAAAGAAAAAAACCAATTACATTTGAAATTACTTCAAGGAATTGAAAAAGTAATCGATTCCTTTGGTGTGGACTGAAGGAATTGATTCCTAATTACAATTCCTTGTAATCTGTAATTGGGAGTAATTTAATTCCTAAAGGAATCATTACGACCCAGCTCTGGTTGAGAACTTTAGCTAAATAGGGAGAGAAAAAAAGTTTGTGTTAAAAGTGTTCGTTTGAGGATTTCTAGTGACAGAAAGGACATTCTATAGGAAAGAATTGAACCGACATAAGGAGTTATTATCAAAGAAAAATTTAAAAGTTTATTCAGACAGGACAATGGACACACTTCTTAGTACCGCGGTCCGTACTGCATATGAACATTCCCGTCGGGAATTTCAATCCCGAATAGATGAACTCACTAACAGGATAGCTAGAATTGATACGCCAGCTCAAGTTGCGCAGTATGAAGCGGTTACTATCCCACGCAACGTGTCGTGCGAAGAATCCGAGGATCTTGTGAAGACCATGCCAGAATTCAATGGTGATTCAACACGGTACGTCTCTTGGAGGCAGGCGGCACACACCGCTTATAACGTGTTTGAAAGTTATGAAGTTCTGTTATAAATAGAAAACCCATAGACGTAATTCATTCGATACCAGATGAGTTAAAGGACGAAATAGGAGACAACACATTGACTTAAAAAGACGCAATGCTGGGAAAAAGTTGAGACAATATAGTCCAGGGGATAAAGTTTTCGTAAAAACTAATATAAGAATAGGCAAAAAATTTACAAAACTTTACATTGAAAAAAACAGGGCAAAAGAACCTCGGGTCGACTGTTTTAATCGACGGCCGAAAGGTCCAAAAAGTAATTTGAAATATTAACGATACCCTTCCTCTTTTTTACAGAACCGCCATACTGCTAGGCTTTTTGGCCGAAACAAAAATTCTAAATTACACTATTTCGTATTATATCCCAATTACAAGCGGCAAAGTAGCTATATACAACGAATATAAATTTTTATTGCATAAGACCAACCTATCCCAATTTGAAGCAATAGTTGAAGATACGAAGCAGACTCACATAGATACAGGCAACCCTTTTTCCATAGCCACTGCCAGAAAGCGAGCAGTGATAATGGAATTAAAATCTGTTATAACATCAGTCACTCTAGGAAAAATAAATGTTATAAATCCTATTTTGTTGAACGGTGTAGAAATTAAGGACATCTTAGCTGCGGACCACTCTGCCAACGTTAGCATAAGCGATTTATTACAAATTTCTAAAATTAAAAATTTTTAAGGTGTACAATGTATTTTTTTTATTCTAAAATACCCAGAACCCAGTTTGTAACCGTGTAAAGTTGTTGCCTGTGGTACATGATTAGACGATAATTTCTTTGGAAACGGATGCCATAGCTGAATGCACCGGAAATTACATTCCACTGCACGATCGCAAAGAAACTGTGATGACGAGCTTTTGCCAGCCGTTGAAGGAAAGTCCTTGCACGCTACAGCTGCTAAATAGAAACTCTGCGAACTGTAAGTAAAAATCTGCTGATCACGTTGGCCTTATCGAAGAAATTGACAATGGCATTGTGCTAATTAACAATCAACCAGCATCGGTGTAAGACGGAAACTTAACGAAATTGACAAAAGGTACTTGATCATATCGTCGGTCCCTACGAGGAGTAGCACATTTCACTATTCGCGTGGAAGACTAGCACATTTCATTATTTGCGTGGAAGACTAGCACATTTCAGATTTTTGCGTGGAAGACTAGCACATTTCAGAATTTTGCGTGGAAGAGTAGCACATTTCAGATTTTTGGTCGCATTTGGTACTATGTAACGACTAAACACAATTTCTTTTTATATGAAAGAAAACCGCAACAACGGAAATGTTTTAGCCACTTGAAACTTGCACATTATTGCAATAAAATTGAAAGGGCTTNATAACGACTAAACACAATTTCTTTTTATATGAAAGAAAACCGCAACAACGGAAATTTTTTAGCCACTTGAAACTTGCACATTATTGCAATAAAATTGAAAGGGCTTTAAATCTATATACTCAAAAAATTCTTAGCAAAAAATTATTTGACATTTGGATGAATATTTTTAGATTTTTTTAGTTTTCTATAAAGTTTTAAATTTGGGTTTATATCATGATTCAATGGGTAGGTTCAGAAGGCGCAGCAGTTGAGCGCAACCGTTGCTAAAAAAATCAGTGATCGTGAAGCGTCTTCTGAACGGCTTGATACATTAGCTGTCAAATTCAAAACACTCAACATGTTGTCTCAAATGATCAGAAAAGTATTACGATCATTTAACACGCAACTGTTCAGTTGATCAGAAGTATAAAACAACACGTTCAGAAGGTGCAATCGCAACAGTACTGAGCTGTTGCGCCTTCTGAACGTGCTCAATAATACTAGGTTGTGTAATTTGTGACAGCTAAAATTTGACACTCGTTTATCTAGATTTGTATTTTGGAAGTAGGAGAAAGGGGAAGAATGTGATCGCATTTTGCGAAAACGGTAGTAGAATGGTACTACAAAAAGTACGCAAAGTATACAATTAGAAGTAAAATGTGTATTATTAATTCTATGCGAATTTGCAATATATTTGGTGTTTTAATGGAAATACTAAACAATACATAAAAATATGCATTTTTGATTTAAGTTATTCGTCATTTCCGGGAACAAATCTAGAATGCCGACCGTTCAGCTATGCAAAAACGAAAAATGCGGATCAATAGAACTTTTTATGCTCATTTCAACCATGCCAAAATGATTTGGCGCAAGTAAAAAATGAAGAGGTTCTAGAAGGTTAAAGTTCAATTTTTAGATATTTTAAATATTAATATAAAACCGATTAAACAGCTAATGACGTCACCATAAAGGTAATTAATTTGTTCTTCAGCTGATATACATAATTTATAGCTTTTTGTATTTTTAAACCAAAACCACTAAAAAACGAGGAAATATTATTTTCTTCATGAATTAACCTTTTTTGAAAAAACTGCATAATTAATGGTAAAGAATTTTATATAATTTAGAAAGTACAAGTTATTATCTTTGATTAGATATTACATACTTTATCATGATCTACTTTTGGGTTTCAACAATTTAGTGATAATAAAAAATACAAATAAACCTCTTATATCTTCTTTTTTTACCAGTGACAAATAAATTTGGTATCGTTGAAATCAGCGTAAAAAGTTCTATCATTTTTGGCTATTTTATAGCTAAACGGTCGCTATTCTACACTTGTTCTAGAAAATTACGCAAACGAAGGTGACGCCAACGAATATTTAGTATGGAGAATTTTTGGTTTTACTACTAATATCAACTAAAACTATAGAGTAAGCAACATTATGCACAAGTAAAGGAGCCGATTTTATGTGTGGGAGCGAGAAGACTGTTTTATTACAAAACCTTTCTATTATTGAATCATGGGTTTATATGGACTTCTTCAGAGGATGAACTTAATTTTAATGAAAATTCTTAAAAATAAGTAAATAAAAATAAGTGGAAAACAATATCACTTTGGAATGAGGTGCTCTTGATATGACTGCATGCACATTAGGGTGGTCCAAAAACAGTAGAGTCGGAATTGTAATGCTCTCACTCCTTTTTTTTATCAAAAAATATTTAGTGGTCGTTCAAAGCATTCAAAGTTTTCCATGTATTTTTGTATGGGAAAAACAACTTTTCGTAGAAATGGTATAGAATTTTTGAAAATCAATATTTTTCGATCAGAAAACTCTGGTTCTCTTCAGGAGACTTTCAATAATAATACCCAATTATTTATTTAACAATTTTTTAATACTAGCGATTTTTTATTTGTCCCCCATTGCATTTTTCGGGGTTTTTTGGGTTTTTGGCGGACCTACAAATTATAGTTGCGAGATGAAAAAATTGGTTATTATTATTGGGAATCCTGCCGATGAAAAAAGTTTTCCGATAGAAAAATAGTTTTTTTGAATTATATACCATTTCTACCAAAAGTGTTTTTCCCCATATAAAATATGTACATGGGAAACTTTGGGCGCTTTGAGCGACCTCTAACTATTTTTTGATTTCAAAATAAAAAATAGGGATATATTTTTTTAGTATAGAACAATCCTAGGGGGTGAGAGCATAAAAATTCCGACTTTACTTTTTCACATGCATTTTTGGACCACCCTAATGCACATATATGTTTCTCGTATTTATAAATAGATTCCCTGAGGAAGACGCGAATATGCGTCCAAACGAGTAGGAGGAAAATAAACGTTTATTCTATTTGTAATAAAATACCGAAAAGCTCCATACACAACATTAAACTCTCAGCTTAGTCGAGGAGAAATAATTATTACATACACGTATGTTTGGTTTTTGTACGGCTGCTAGTACCACTCTATATGAATTCGCTATTCTTCTACGCGAGTATCTGAAATGTGCTACTCTTCCACGCAAAAATCTGAAATGTGCTAGTCTTCCACGCGAATAGTGAAAGGTGCTAGTCTTCCACGCGAAAATCTGAAATGTGCTACTTTTCGACGCGAATAATGAAATGTGCTGGTCTTCGACGCGAATAGTGAAATGTGCTAGTCTTCCACGGTAATTTGAGATGTGCTACTCTTCGTTGGGAGCGACGTTATAACCTTATTATCTCTCCCATACTTACATAAGATCAACATAAAGAATCTCAACCATATAACGCATGTGCAGAGCCCCATCAATACCCGCACCTTACAGTCAGGAAGCGCCCTACTCCTGCTCCTAATAGTCATTGCTATGATTCTAACAATCTTCTTGAAACGACGACAAAGCAATACAGTTATACTGAATAGAGTCATAAGAGAAGCCGAGGACGCCTTCACCCCAAGAGGGGGAGTAGTTAACACCAGCAACAGCGTATTAGGCGGAAATTCCATTCCCACCCAAACTGCTGACGATGCGTTGGCAAATTTGCGCGTGACAACAACTTAATTCCCAACAACATAAAAAAGCGAACAGCGTAAACCGATACTACCACCATACGCGACTGCAACGATTCTCATGCTAAAGCGACCAGCGTAAACCGATACCACCATAATACGGCAAATGCTCGATCAACTACTTTGAAGTGAGGCGGCTGTCCACAGGTGACAACTGTAAGTTTCAAGGTCAAGGGAGTTAGATATTCAGGCGCATTCGCCGAACAATTCAATTGTATTAACTCATCCGCCATAATCGGCCGCCCTTGCTCTCGTGCAAGGGAAATATATTATTTAAAAAGTAAACCCGTGTTTTACAGGTTATATGCATTGAAATTAACAAAGGAAAACAATGCTATCATATTAGTTTTTACTTAGAACAGGGGGTTGGATGTATTCTAAAATGGAAGATAATAAAGATGAAATATAGCCCGCGGGTGTTGCTGCACTCCACCGAGGCATTTCACCACAATGGCTCCATCCTTCTCATACCCACGAGCATTGGCTGCAGTGCTGTAGGCAATGACGGGCCGGATCACGTGGCTCTTGCAGTATTTAATTTCTGAGGTCTGTGTGGCTGATACCGCCTTCCTCTGTCGCTGTCTTCAATTGCTCGTCGCAAGATGGAATTAGCAGTGCCACACCAGTACCCGCCATACTATGACTCGTAGAGACATTGGTGGGTGTAGCCGCTGTTTTCCTTCTCTTGCTGCGTTCACCAGCAGATTTGGATGTCGGTTCATCCACCATGGTCCCACTGGCTTCTGGAGTAAGCTCCGTAGACCTGGACCTCTTACTGGATGCAGCGAAAGAAGAAGTTCGGTCAGTCACAAAAGAGGTTTTCTCCTGCTTTTGTTTCACCTCCCCGATCCTTCCTCTTCTGATGGGTTTGTGAAAGAGGACCCACTCCGTCATTGGATGGTTGTTGGCAGCGAGCTGCTTCTCTACCCACATCCCCTGCAAGAGATTGGTCCTCTTCCGACTCTGAAGAATAGAGGATTGGCTCTCCTCCAGGATGCACTGCTGGTCTATGACGCTGGAGACTTTAGAAATGGTTCGGGCCTCCAGAATCACACGTGTAAGTACCACCTGTAGTATTATCCAAACGTTGTGCCATTACCATGATGTACAGTTCTGTACCAATCTGCCAGGGTCGGTGGGTATTTTTCCCGTCATCCTCCTACTTCCCGAGATGCACGAATGCCATTCGGAACACACACCAAATGGATTTTAGTCGCCTTTTATGACAAGGATGCCTTACTTCGGGTATATTCTCGCGCCTAGCCCTCCGGCCTATAAAATGTTGAATTTATATTGAAGTGTAGGGAATGGGACTCTTATTATTGGAAGCCTTGAGAGCCAGGGTAGCCTATCAGACATTTAAAAAGTATTAATGCATTACTAAAGCGAAACGGCAATAGCCCGATTCACGCTCCTTTAGTTTTCTTTTACTATAATAGGAAGCATCACGTACAGTTGTCCACAAAATAATAAGAGTGCGATATTTTGACCAGTTTTGGCTATTTGTCTTTTGTTTATTTAATGTTTATTATTTTTTTATAAAAGCCTAGCTGGCTATACAACAAACACCATATAAATTCAGATTTTAAACTTTGTATAAAAATTATAAAAATTTTGGAGCTGTATACTGGTTACGGAGGAAATAGCTGTTCTTCGACGACTCTGTCTCCAGAGAAGGAGAAAGCTTACTAGAGAAAGATGTTACAACCAGAACTTCGGAGCAATGTTTCTTTTTCATCGCTCCGCTCTAGCTCCGCTCCGGCATTTTATTTCGCTCGGAGCTACGCTCGCCTCCCAAAAAAGCTTTTTGTTTATTTAATTGCTTACATAAATATCGATCCCCACCGTCCAAAAATTTATGATCCCAATGAATTTTGTCTTGTAAATAAAATGGCAGATAATAACCCAGCCAGCAAAAATTTGAAAATGCATCCGAAAAAGGAAAAAAGTGGATGAAATGCGGATTTTTGTCCGTTTACCGATTTCGTTTTTGGATACTTTGACGATACGAAAATTGCTACGTAATTGGCTGTTTTTTGACAATTTTCTTTTATTTTCGTTCAATATGCTTTCCTTCGGGCGGCCACTGTGGTGTAGTGGTAAGCAGTGCGCGCTTCCACTCCGCAACGCCTGGGTTCAAACCTTGGTCAAAGCAACATCGCAAAAAATATAGAAAAAAGGTTTTTTCTTAACAGCGGTCGTCCCTCGGCAGGCAATGGCAAACCTCCGAGTGTATTTCTGCCATGAAAAACAGCTTCTCATAAAAATACAATCGCCGTTCGGAGTCGGCGTAAAACTGTAGGTCCCTCCTCTTTGTGTGACAACATCAAGGCGCACACTACAAATCGGAGGAGAAGCTCGGCCAAACACTAACATATGTGTAATCTATTATTATTATTATGCTTTCCTTCTGCCCTTCACAAATGTTTTTTCATGGTCCGAAAAAAACAAAGAAGCGCCTGACGTCATTCGAACCCGACACTTCAGAAAGCTAACAAATACTGGCACTTCTCAGCCACTGCTGACTACGTATACATGCTTTCAAATGTTCAGCTTGGACGAATAAAATACAATTATTGCTTTCAAATAACATCATCACTTTCGAACGTTTTCCGGATATGAAAATGAATGAAAATTGTAATCGTTTTCTGTTAATTTCCGGATACGAAAACCGCACGTTTTTTTACTTTTTTGGATACGTAAATGAACAAAAATTGTAGTCGCTTTCCGTTCGTTTCCAGATATGGAGAATTGTACGAAATCGCACTGTCGGCAAAATTTACATTTTTTTTGCTAGGTGGGAAGTCATTAGGGCTGTTCTGGATGGTGTGGAAATAGTCTTGTATTTGCAGATGCAATTGCATTTGCAATTTTTTTTGCTTGCTGTGATGGCTTGCATTTTATTGTTGTGAATTTACAAATGCACCGAATATGCAAATCCAAGAGCCCTATTTTTTTATCGCCGTTTAAATTGGCGAGGCAATTATCAAGTAAAAATATAACGAAAATTTATTTAAAACTGTAGTTTTCAGTGGCAAAAAAAAATAAGCAAATTTAATTTTCATTAAGGAGCTAAGGAGAAAATAATTTTGTTTAGCTCTTTTTTCCTGCTCCGCTCCAGCCAAAATCCTTTGCTCCTTAACTCCTTGCTCCTTTGCTCCGCACCGCTCCGAAGCCCTGGTTACAACAGTCACAATGGAAGAGTACAAGACAGCTAAAACGGACTTGAAAAGGGTAATTCGGAAAAGCAAAGCGAAAAAATTGGAGCAACTGCGAAAGGGCGTAAATACCAACAACTGGGGTTTAGGGTACAAAATAGTCATGCAGAAGCTTGGGACCTGTCAAAAGAAACCA